ATATATATATATATATATATTCGCTAAATAACTATGATATATGATATTGGCAAAAAATAGTAAGAAGAATATTCTAATGAATAATTTAATAAAATTTTGAAAAAATTCTTTTTTCTTCTTTTTTTGCGCTAAAACTAAATTTGACAAGGAAAATGTAATAATATTTTATATCCTGTCAAATCAAAGAATCCATACATTTCCTTCAAAATTCTCATTATTTCTGAAAAAAAAAACGTCACTGCACTTCAAATTACCACGCAGTGTAAATATTAAAAAAGTCCATTCAGCTGTGTTCTAAGAGGAAAATTGGATAACTTATGAAAAGGGTGAAGCGATTGACATCTACTTGCCTTTTGTTAAATTGGCATGTTGCTCTATTGACGCAGCTTAACAAAAGACAAATACTCACCAGTAAGTAACACAAAATTGTTCAATTGCAATCACTAGATTTGAGATATACCTCGATAGCCTTTAACTGACGAGTTATTGTTGTAGAGATAAAAATATTAAGTCTGCAAGTGGAAATATTTAACATCAGATATTTTAGTAGCGATATGTATGTTATCATAAATTGAGAATGAGATTGTATTTCTCAAAATGTATTTCAAATAAACTAAAGCTTTAATTGTATTCCATTTTACGAGTTTTTTTCTGAAATTACTCATAAGTATATGCTGTAAAATTAACTTTCATTTTATTTTTTCTGAAGTAAATTTTTGAGGAATAAATAATACTCGTTGATAGTTTAAATTAGTTTTTCAAACTGAAATAAATACAATGTAAAAACTTTTATCTATCAAGAATTGGAACGAAAAAAACGTTTTAATCTATCTCGAATAAAGTAGTTAATTTTTTAATCACCAATCATCATGAGTAATTTTTTAACATCACATAATTAATTATCTATAATAATAAAATGAAGTTTTTGTGCGTGTGTCTGCTAATGTTTATTTATTATGCTAATGCTTATTTTTTTTGGTGCAAGACACAATCTCATTTTCTTCCTCGGGTGTATTTTTTTACAACTGTCAACCTCAAAACAACCTTAAAAACACCTTACTTTTTTGCAAGGGATAGGCAAAATCGAAGACGGGTGATGTCAGCAAATTAGTAATTCGGAGAACTATCTAAAACGCATATAAGCAGGTATCAAAGGCGTCCGCCTTCTTACAAGGACAAGGAAAGCCCTGATTGGTGAAAACCGGGCAATGTAAACGAAGCAATGGTCTTTAACATCACAGAAACATCAATTTAGAGAAAACCGTATAAGTGTAAATCGGGTAATTACTCACACATTCCTGACAGGTTATTATCACAGTCATTTATATTAATAATAATCACATCTTGAGTAAAACGTGATAATAAATGCTCATTAATCACTTTGCTCGGTATTCCCTTCACTGTTGAATTTGTAGGCTATGGACTATTTCCTAATATTCCGTATGCCGACATTTTTCCTAAACTTCTAAAACTATAAATACTTTGTACGAATTTTGAAAACTAAAACAAATTTTGTCAGCTTTGTCGTTTACTTAAAAAAAATGTCCTCTATGACCGGGAAAAAAATCTCCATTTCTGTAAGGAGCCAGGTTAAAATTCTAGGACTAGTCTAAGAGTTCAATTTCATGCCACCTCCTTATTTGATGGCGTAGTTTCTTCAGCCAACCAGAGCCTTCACTGTATTTTAGAGATAGCTGGATGACGATGGGTTCTGTATACACGCCAGCCAGTGATAATTTTCTTTACAGTTATGCTTTTGAAATAATGGGTTATTGTAAACCTAAACAGCGAAAAATTAACAGTAAATTGAAATTAAAAAAAGATATTTGCTAGATTGTATACTCATATTGTAAATCGCTTGCTTGAGATAAATGTAGACTGTCATTTGTTGAATGATATTAATAATCAATAGCATTATTTTTGTTTGAATTTTTTGATGATGTTTGTTGTTTGTTAATTTACGTCGCGCTAGAGCTGCACAATGGGCTATTGGCGACGGTTTGGGAAACATCCCGGGGGAATTTTTTGATAAAATGAACTTAAAAAAAAAAAGAAAGAAAGTGTTTTGCTTAATCCTTTAAAGAAAATTAATCGAAAAGTGCAGAAAATATTAATAATGAATATTATAGTTATTTTAGCATTTTTTAATTGTAATGGCATGACTCCTTTCAATCTTAAGTATCATTGCATATCGTTAATAATTACTTCTATATTACTTGCTAACGTTTTGTTTTATCCCTGGCAAAGAACAGGTATTAAGCACTAGGGAAATAGAATAAATGTATGGATATTAAGGTAAATACTTAGATTCATCAAGACAAAAATTGCCCATAAATGCGTTGGATTGAAATCATATTCAAATCGATACTTTTAAGCATATAATCAAAAAAAAGTTTATTTTCGTCAAATCAATGATCCTTGTGGCCATAATGCTCTATAACCACAATGTCCCAAAAAGATAATAATAAATGAAAATTGAATTTAAAGCATACTGTAATATTTTTGCAAGGAGCCAAATTTTGTTTGAGGAATTGTATATATTTTACAAACGTAAACTGAAAAATATTTACATCTAATATGTAAAACACGAAAAAACACCTGTAAAACCTGTGTAATCGAAAAAAATCTCTAATCTATTCTAAAAAACTACATATTTAAATTCTGATTAATTTGAAAAGCTAATTTGCAAATAGTAAAACAATGAGAGAAGAAAAATTTGTCCTAAACAGTAAAAAATGAAATTTTTTAATAAATAATTTTTTAATTGTTATAATTTTTAACAATTAAAACAAACCCAAATAATATAAAAATATCCATGTCTTTCTTTTCCACTTTAATTTAAAAAAATGGTAATTTTGATAAAGTCATAATTTTAGAAATTATTACACAATAACATAGCAGTATTATCAACAAAAACGTTAGGCTATTAAAATTATAATTATATGTCATAAAATTAACTTGTACTATAACGAAACCGAAACAGCTACAAATACGGTACTGCTAATAAAATTATGATTAAGAATTATAAAGCTTAAAATTATGATTAAAAATTATAAAGCTATCCTACACTAAAATAAAGTAGAAACATCAACAAATCGATAATACTGATAAAATTATGATTATCTTAGACGGCAACAAGAAGAAAACATTAACAAATATAGAAATATTGATAAAATTATTAATGCCTGATATAGACGCTTTTACAGCTCAGCAAAACGGAATCATCAACAAAATGGTTATACTGATAGAATCATAATTATCTTGCACTACAGCAAAATGTAAATACTGATAATTTATTTTACTCAACAACAAAACAGAACTATCAGAAAAAATACCATAAAATTATGATATAATTCATTAAAATTATCTTACACTACAACAAAACGGTTATACTGCTAAAATCATAATTATCTAACTCTACGACAAAATGGAAATATTGATAAAATTATTTTACTTCACATCAAAAACGGACTATCCGCAAATGGAATAATTTCATGCAATAAAATTACCTCATACTAACTACAACAAAACGGAATAAAAAAAAGGTGATACTGACAAAAGCATAATTATCTAACACTACAACAAAGCAGAAACATAATTATATACAGTAATGCTGATAGAATTAACATTATAGGTTAAAATTTACCTGTGTCAGATTTCCTCCCTTTTTGACAATTTCTGCCGAAAATTCAAAACTCCAACATTTAAAGCTAAAACCCATTCCATCTTAATTGAGACAATTACTCTTGAATGTGTTCAAACCAATGTTTTTTTCTCGAAAGCATTGTTTCTCATACGATTAAATTGTACACAAACACATTCATTAAGAAAGTCCGGGGTCATAAAAAGATATAGTTTTAGCAATTTTCCGAATATATCATTTTTAGACATCATACTATGCTTTCAGGAACTTCCCGTCATTTCGAATAGAAGAACAAAGAAAAATTAATATTTATTTTCCATAAACATTCAAAAATGTAGTTGCTGCATATTTTTACAACGTAAAAGAAGGACTGAATTCCATATGGAATGTCATTCCAATCTCAATAATCTCATTTACAATTCACTATTACATTCAAAAAAGTCTTTGTTTGACAGCATTTTTCTTTGACTAAAAAGCTGATTCTAAAATACTTTTTATTATATCCTTTTGAGAACCAGCTCTAGCATTCAATAAATTGTACACAATTTTATCACTTACAAAGCAATGTTTTTTTTCAACTTGTATACTTTTGCAAAGTGATTGTTTATGTAAAAATATAACTAGTTTAACAGTCGTTGGTCGGAATGTTTAAATACAGCGAAATATTAGAAGGGTCTGGGACTCAATTCAAGTTAATTTTTGAACAGTTTTATGTCATCTAAATATCTTATTATTTGAATCGGGTAAATTTTGTTTTCTTACCAAAATGCGAAAAAATACTCTCCCAAAATAACATATTCTACGCCTCTATGCTTAAAACACTAAAATTAAAATGTATAAAATTTTTATGCGTTAATTAAAACTATTTAAAAAATTAATTAAGTTTAAATGATATATATATATATATTTCATTGAACGTCTATTAATATCAGTTGAAATAACTTCCAAGAGATTTTTCTTTAAATGATGGACGAAAATTATTACTTTTCAGATTTGGAAAGCAGTCACTTACTTAAATGAAAATTTAGGTATTCAAATTCGTCTCTCTTTCAATTCGTCTCTCTCAAATTCGTCTTTTTGTTTTCATATGTTTAGTTTGTATTCATAAGTCTTGTATTTTGTTTTCAAATACTCAAAGATTTTTTTTTAATAATTTTTAAGCATAAAAATATTTTGAATCAATTATCAAATTTATGTTTGCATTAAAAGAAAACTGATTATTCTTTGTATATAATGTGTATTTATGATACCATAAACACATTATGGTTCATTATAGTTTTGCAATACCTACTTGCTGAATACTTGCTCTTTGAACGCGGTTAAAAAAAGTAAATTATCAATCAATCAGTATAAATTACCATAACGCTATCTTGTACAGAACTGAAAGTAATCAAGAACAGCAAAAAAAATTTCAAATGTTTAAAAAAATATTATTTACTTCCTTTCCTTGAGGCATAATATTAGAAGCGTCCGGTGAATCTTGAGAATGCGCTCTTATTTTTGAGCGTTCGCACCATGCAAACTTTTCCCCCCTTAACAATTTTTGAAACAAATGAATTACATTATCACGTATACAAATGCTGCGTATTTTAACTCGAAATTTATTAACTAAGGGAGATAAACATTTCGTAAAACTAGACACTAATTGCATTCTTAAGCTATAAAAACTGACCATAAATATGAAACAAAAACTTATCTTTTGAGTGAAAAACCTGGGAATAAAGACATAGATATTATGCCGAATTTTGAATGGTTGTGAATTATTGTCTTTTGATTGTTAATAATTTAAAGTTGTAATATATAGTCTTTTAACTTCTGGACGTAGATCACGACTATGGCTGTGCAATATTCTCATTTTCCTGCCATTATCGTAAAGTTGCAATTAACAGTTTACTAACTTCTAGGCTATAAACCACGACCAATATATGATGTTTAAGAATACATTGTTGCATATATAACATACAATAATGTATTAATAAGGAAGCTAAAATAAGAATCTTGAGAGCTTAGTTACTTTTTTTATATTCAGTGTGTTTTGACTGAAACCGGTTTGCACTTGTTTACGTTCGTGCATCAGTTGGTTAAATTAGGCGATACATAACATAAATTTGGCGATTGGATAAATTAGACGAAATGTTATATAAATATGGAATATTTATTATAACAGGTATTATTTCTGTATGTTATAATAATTAGACCAAATTATTAGACGCACTGTAGTTTTTTAATAATTACATGCTTTGCACTTGTTTGTAAGCAATACTTTCATATTTAAACATACATGAAATGGGTTTTTATTCAGGAGATTTTTTATAAACTTTCTATTTGCATTTATTTTTAACGTATTGCATTACAATGTCAACCAATTGATACACGAACGTAAATAAATGCAAACCGGTTTCAGCTCCGTGAAAACAATAAAGCTCTATAATATCACCTGATTATTAAGATTTTACATAGAATCTTATAGTGCGTCTAATAATTTGGCTAGGGACTGTATGTATGCTTTTGAGTCTAAGTATTTATTGCGTACAAATAAATATAAATATATCGGCTGCAATTTGTATTCAATAGCACTGAATATAATTTACCTATGAGAAAAATTTCTTCTAGTAAATATTCTTTTTTATCAAAAGAATCAATTTTAACTAGTAATTTTAGTCTCCAAATTAGGATAGGGGCTAAGTTCATGGTCATAGTTTTAAGAAAAAGCATATAGTCATACACAAATTATTGTTTATATTCTTCTAAATATTTAATAATGCTAATTCATATAGAAAATCATAATAGAGAACAAAATACACGTAAATTACAGTTTGTAACTATTTATTATAAAAATTAAGGAAAAACGATCCGAATTTGAATTGAAAACGTTTTTAACATTTATAGATTAAAAAATGCAATAAATTAAACTAGGTAAACTCACCGGAATGAATCAAATTGCAATTTTTATATAAATTTTCTAAACTCTCATAACTAGTTATTCGAAAAAATATTTGTGGAATGAGTGACTGTCAGAATGAAGTGAGTTTATTTATATATAAATTTCTTTATCAGTAACAGCTGATTCAACAAATGCGTCAATCATTCCCACGGAAGACTTTTTTTTAAAGCAATTAAAAATTTCCTTTTTAAATTCGATTGTTTGAAACATTTATTTCAAAACCTGCTCCTTTGTTTTAAAGCAAACAATTAAAATCAGATATGGTATGTTCGTGTACATATAAAAATAAGTAAAATTCATGAATTAATTGAAAAGAAAATTCATAGTATTGAAAGCTGAGCAAACATGTGATACATTTTATCGTTCCTTGCGAATTTAGAAGACCATAAATTCAACCCTTTCAAAGTCAGTTCGCTACTTTATAAATAAAAAAAAAACATCAATTAAAATTATTTTTAATTATTGAAGATGTATAAACCTATGTCAGTCTGGTACGTGAGAATCCTAAGTTTTTCGTTACTATAACGATTGTTAATTTTTTTGCTATTGACTCTTACTTTATAAGTTTATTTTTGGTATCAACTTATTTTTAGATGTCTCTGAAAAAAATCCCGTTAATCGTGTAAACATAATATTCACGCCAGAGCTAATTTGCAAGAATTACTATCAGTTAGAATTTCTTAAGCAAATGTTTTTTTTTTTTTAAAAAAACCCCATCTTATTGAAGTTCATTGTTTTCACTCTAGCATATTAATATTCCAAGTACATTTTTGCTCTAAATGAATTATAATCAGATTTTTGTTATTATATTTTTCATTCGATTCTTCGAGAATTATTCATTTTTTCTTGTTATTGCATTACTTGAGGTATTGACTTATGCTTAGATTCCTCTGAAAAAATAGCTTGCCTGTCGTGTGACTGTTACCATGAATGTCAGAAATCAAGTAAACGTTGGCTTTCACCGATGAATGTCAATAATCACATAGTCGTTTTGATGAATGTCGGAAATATTTCTTATATCCTATTTGATATTAATTTATTCGTTGATATTATTATATTTATTCGATATTCTTATCAATTCTGCATACTTAAGTAATTAGCTGATTACTCGATTCTCGTACGGGGTGAAAAAAAGAATCAATAAATCAGTGCTGAAAAAAATGCACAAAACTGAAAGACGAATTTTTTTTATTTGTTATTATTTGTTGCCTTTCCTGGTGGCTTTTCGTTATAAGATTAAGTAAAGCACGTATTTATTAGTTAACCCCATTAAAATAACGATTAACTTTCTTTGGTATCATCTGGCATAATGCTGTTGCTCGAGACAAATCATGATATATAAAATTTACCACAATTAAGCAATTTTCTTCTGTACTTTTATTCTATTATTTGTTGAAATTTCTGGTGGCTTTACGTTATGAGATTAAGCAAAGCCCACATTTATTAGTTAACACCATCAAAATAAAGATTAACTGTCTTTGGTATCATCAGGTATAATGCTGTTGCTCGAGACAAATCATGATATTTAAAATTTACCGCAATTAAGCAATTTTCTTCTGTTCTTATATTTCTGAGGGTCCACCTAAACCTATTTCCGCAATATCTATCATAAAAATACACAGTATTGATGAAGCTTTAATAGGTAATGAATTTCCTCATAAAATACTGATTTCATGCCTAAACTGCAGGAATTACTATAATGCCAATTGTACCCATAGCCAAAATTTAGCATCCTTTGTGTCAATAATAACATGCCGACATTTGACTGTTTCCCATAACTATCACTTTCTCCATTAGTTTTACTTTTTAGTAAATAGATCATTTTTTTCATTTCAATTTGTACCCATAAAAAATTAAGTACCAGTGACGTCAATAGTACTTATCCGATTTCTTGCGCTTTCTTAAATGAATTAGTACTATTTCTCCATTAATTTTGCTTTTTAGTACACAGTATTTTTGCTACTTCAGTTAGCAACAGTACCAATATTAATTATCATTTGCGCCAATAATAATATTGGTGTTTTTTTACGTTTCTTCTCAATGAATTAGTACAATTTCTCCATTAGTTTTCCCTTATTTTATTAAAAAAAAGAATGGATAAAAAAAGGATGAATTAAGTTCAACTAGGTGTTTCCAAAACAACTGACGATTTGTAAAATCAAAGAAACAGTAATATATAAAAAAAATTTAAGTCAATTCCTACTTAGGCTAATAAAGAAAAATAATTTTTAGTTACGTTTTACTAAAAAATTGCGGTTTGGTCCCTCTGGAAGAAAGGAGACAAATGTTAACTGTTAAATTTACAAATAATGCCCATAGTCTTGACGAGGGGCACATTTCACATCGTACTATTATAAACTGGAATAAGAAATCTAGACTCAAAAGGTCATCTCCCCTTCTGTTTGACAGGGCCATCAGAGAAAAAATTCACCTTAAACCCGAAGACTGTCTTATCAGAAACGAAACTCCCGCTATTGGAGTTGTTCCAGAGAATACGACAATCTGTCTAGAACTCATCGAGCCCTGCTCGAAAAAAGACCATGCGAATAAACTCAAGGAAATTGGGATGAAAACTATCGACTCTCTATCTGGCCTCAATCATGTCAGGGCTTTTACTGATGGATCTTCTGACTCCACCTTCACCAACGGAGGTGCGGGAGTGGTACTGCTCCTTCCTGATGATCAAAGACGAGAATTCGCAACTGGTGCTGGAAAAATCGCATCTAATTTTACAGCAGAATTGATAGCCATTTCTACGGCTATCGAAACGTACATCAATCTTGAACCTTCGGAGCAGCTTAGTGGTATCACCATCTTCAGCGACTGCAGGTCTGCCTTACAGGCCCTCAGCAAAGGTACCTCAAGCCTTGTCCTGAATATCATAGAACAACTTGGACAACTTCAGCGCCTCCGGAAAAATTGCTTCTTGCAGTGGATTCCCGCCCATGTGAACCTAGAGTTTAATGAAATAGCTGATTCCTTGGCTAAAAATGCCAGAGATCTAAATCAAAACTCAATCCCAACCACGTTGGCAGATGCAAATGCTTATGCAAAATCAAAACTATTCACCCCTTTAAAAATCAAAGCCCAAGATCAAATAACTAATCTTGACATCGATAGGAAGACAGCCACTACTCTCATCAGACTAAGAACAAAACATCATAAAAACATGAAAATTTCTACAGATAAGACTAGAAAATATCAAAACTGTGGCAACTGTCTTAATGTGGAACTGACACCATATCATGTTTTTAACTGCCCTGCAGTCGCTGCAG